TCTATTGGCCCTACAGGATCGACGAGCTTGGTGGAAAGAAAAGAAACAGCAGTATCATTTTTATGCGTTTTTTGTAGCTATGCAATGTAGAAAACGCATATTGACGAGAGGTTGTCTGTGTGTGTGTGTGTCTGTGTGTCTATGTGTTCGTCTGTACCGATTTTTCATCTCGAGACCGGCAAAAGCTACAGGGCTGAAACTTTGATGACATAGTCTGCATGCACGTACGGGCTCCCACCCCCGAAATGGGCCGTCTTACCCGCGTGGTACCCGCGTAGGAGCCCGCCAAAATTTTTTTCGGGTAAGTTCATAACTCGTGGATCTGAGAAGCTAGAAAGCTGAAATCTTAGAAGGATATTCCCCATCCAAGTGGGTATTAGTGAGCTCAAACCCAGTCCTCGGGTAAGCGGGTACCCGCGTAAGAGCCCGCCAAAATTTTTTTCGGGTAAGTTGATAACCCGCGAACCAGAAAAGCTACAAAGCTGAAATTTTAAGGGAATGTTCCCCGTCGAAGTAGGTGCTAATGAGCTCAAGCTTAACCCCCGGTAAGCGTGGCACTCGCGCACCGGCTCGCCAAAATTTTTCCCGCGCAAATTCATAACTCGAGGTTCTGAGACGCTAGAAGGCTGAAATTTTAGGAGGATGTTCCCCATCCAAGTGGGTATTAGTGAGCTCAAATCCAGCCTTCGGGTAAGCGTGGTACTCGCGTACGAGCCAGCCAAAATTTTTTTCGGGTGAGTTTCATAACTCGGGGATCTGAGAAGCTAGAAAGCTGAAATCTTAGAATGATGTTCCCCCGTCCAAGTGCGTATTAGTGAGCTCAACCCTACCCCGGATAGCGTGGTACCCGCGTACGGGCCCGCCAAAATTCTTTTCGGACAATTTGATAACTCGAGCACCTCAGAAGCTAAAGGACTGTAATTTTAAGAGGATATAGCCCGTCCAGCTAAGTTTGTAATTCTTGGGTATGCGTGGTAAACACGCACGGATCCATGAAAATTTTTTTCCAGTAAGTTGCTAACTCTGGAGCCAGGGAAGCTAGAAAGCTGAAATTTTAAGGGGATGTTTCCTGACAGCCCTGGAGGCTAGTCTCAGTTTTTTTAACTAGAAGCATCTGCCGGAAAAAAACAATGCCGTTAGCGACAAAAGCTTGTGGGAAATAATGCAGAAAATACGCATCTTCGCACCGGCAGTCGGTGCGCCGGCCAGTTGTTTTTACTCACTAGAAGTAGTAGAAAATTCACTTTCCTTATCCTCCCTCTTATTTACTTAGAATACTCGTTCTCCAACTATGCAGTGGCAGCATTTTCTGTTGCATTGATCAGAGCTATACCACTTGGTGGTCAGCACGCTACTGATCTTAACGCTCGTTTCGTTTTCTAAAGGAATTTCGTTCGACCGTTCTCTTGAAAAAAATGTTAGACAAGGTTTTAGCTATTGTGATATTACTTTGATGTGTGCTAGGTATCACAGCTCGTTCTAAACACGGACACCTCTTTTGCCACAATGAGAAACATCACCGATTAAGCAACTCTCTCCACTGGTACTAATTCTGTCAGTTTGTTTATGAAACTGTTAACTGCTCCTTACTAAGAAGTCTGAAAATAACCTGTACGCTGTCAAAAAACATTGTTACATCACTGGAATAGAGAGATTTTTCAAAGATTTCAATTTTCACAGTCTATTTATTTACGCCTTCTATTGGTAAGGTACCTCTCGAGGCAAGAATGGTAATTCCCAGACATTGAAATATAAAAGCAACATCCACGCTGTGAAAGCAAAACAATCAGCATCAAGGAATATGTTTATACAAATATAAAAGAACAAAAAATATTGAACAAAAACAATTCGCTTCGTACGCAAGCTTAGTTCAAAAACGACATAAAAAAGCACGAAATTTTTTGAGCATTTAAATTCATGAAATTTTCACAGTCCTTGAGAATGACAAATCCAGTCTCACACATTCGCTGACATCAATTTCAAAAGCAGTAAAAGAAAGCAACTTTATAATTTGAAGAAATCATGCTCTGAACTGTGGGCGCGCGACTCCTTCCGGGCCACGGTGACCACCACGCGAAGCACTTGCACGCCCTCGAAAAGTTATCCCTCGCCCTGAAATGACTGAATAGCGAAAACTTTTACAGCAAACAGGACCAGCTGATACTCAAACTGCGTTGAAGCACCATCTAGTAACAAGGGATTCATGACCATTGGATCATTACATCTAACAGTTTCAAGATTTAAAAAATCTCTTGACAGATTTGCAGTTTCAAGAGCAGCTTGCAACTAATTAAGTCAAGAATAAGACTGGTCCCAACCGGGTTTACAATACATTTTTTGTTTCGAAACCTTTTTTTTTTTGAAATCTTTTTGAAAAATTACGATTTTGACCTTTCTTCAAATGAAAGATACCCGA